CTGGATGCTCTTCGCAGCTCAAAGAGAACGGACGTATCAGGTAAGCACCAACGCCCTTTCTGTTTCCCTTTCAGAGACACTCACTACAGTCTGTCAAGTATCTTGCCAAAGCTGGGGAGAGTTCCAGGGGCTGGCCTTTTATATACAAGAACAGACTAAGCTTAATGACATAATCAGGAGGAGTCTAACCCATCCTGGACTCTCTAGCAGCGTAGATAGAAAGGGCGTTCTCAGGTAATTATACCAATGCCCATTATCTATTCCATTTTTATTTTCATATATTTTTGCTTTATATTTTTTCATTCATTAATTCAGTAACAAAAACATTTTCATCCTAAACATATTTTCCACTATTTATCCCCTTTTATTTTCATTTCCATCTTACCACTTATTTTGTTTTACATATTTTCTTTTTTTACTTTCTCAAAGCCAAAACAAAAAACAAAAATAAAATAGAACTAATATCAATAAAGTCATTCTTAATTATTACTTTCCAACTAACAACGATAATTCCCTATTTACTATTTTATATATGTGTGTTTCTCCCCACCCCCCCCATTCAGGATCCACATGGTATTTCCCCCCAATTTACAATGAATCTTACATTTATTCCAAAGATATTCATATAGCCATTTAATATTTCCTCTTTATTTTCATTTAACCAAGTTTTACCTATGGAATTATATTTAATTTTCATTCATCACCTTTTTTAATCATAATATAATAATCTCATTGCAAATATTTACAATAAAATCAATTATAATTTACCATACTTATTTTTTAATATCGTTTGTATAATCAATTGCATTTTCTATTTCATATATAATATATATAAAGATAAAATAATAATACAACCTTACTCTACAATCATTTTTTCACATTATATAATTATATAATATTCTTGTGGTGAATTCTTATTCCCATTAATTCCAATTAAGGTTATTTCTTTATTTTTGAAAATAATTCCCAATAAACTTTAAACTTCAAAACTCCCTAATCTATATTTCTAAAGAACCAAAGTACATTTCTATGTGGAATTCCCCCCTTTATTTTATCTTAGCTATCGTCTCTTAGTCTCTCAGCCCTGTAATTTCTTCTAATTTTAGACTGTTTTCCGTTTTCTAAGCTTTTCCGGTCCTTTCTCTTAGCTCCTCTTTCCCCCCCCTATTATTATTTTTGTTTTCATCTCTTATTTTTTCCCCCTTCCTCTCCTGATTTCTCTTTTGCAGTTTCTTCTTGTATGGCTTCTTCTTCTTTGGTTTAATCTTGGAAATGTTTTCCCTTTTGTTTATCTCATCTGTCATTAAAATCTTAATTTTAATTCCTTTCATATCTTTTTGCAATGTCCATTGTTCTTTCTCCTATACGCTGCTTCGAAGAGTCCAGGATGGGTTAGACGACTCCTACGATGTCATAGAGTTGAGTCTGTCGTATAAAAGGGCTAGCCTCTAGCCAGATCCCCAGCTTTGACTCAGCTCCTAGTCAAAACAAGCTTCATGTCTTGGAAAAAGAAAGGATTGTAGATAGCAGTTAGCAGGGAAGAAAGTTTACAGGTTTGATCACAAGCCTCTGACAGCTCTCGGGGCTCAGATCGAGCTGTGTCAGCTGTGGAGCGGGGATCCGCTCTCCGGCAGTATTGGGGACTTGACGCTGCCTTTGGGAGGCTTTCGATAAAGAGAATAGCCCAGTCTCCCACGCAGTCCTCCCCAATGCCTCTCTCACTGCCACGAGCCGCAGCAACAGCCCTATGAAACCTCCCAGCTGCTCTGAGGCTAAAAGTGGCTCTCCTGGGTCGCTCTTTGCTCAGGGCTCTTAGAGCCTATAGAGCGAAAAAGGCCCTCCAACACCATCGGAAAGCCTCTCCTTGTGCAGGCCGCCATTTTTTCACCTTAGCACAAAGCACGAGGCTGGTGGTCATTTTAAGTGGCTAGAATCGTTTTAGCTTATCTTGTCACAATTTGCTGCTTTTTTGTCTGAGAGAGCTATCCCAGTGAGATCAGGAGACACATATTGAGGGTTGCTCCCAGCACCTCTTGTGTACCCCTTATTGGATCATGGAGGCCTCCAAGCAGATAGAAGCCTCTAGATCAGAGGCACATCCCTCCTGGCCCAGAAGAAAAAAAGGGTGTCCAGTCAGCCAAAGGGAAGCAGCGGCAAAAATCAGGGCCAAAGCCTTCGCTCCAAAGAAAGTTTCCCAAGCTGACTTCCGGTTGCAGCGCTGCGGCGAGGTGGGGAGAGAAGAGCAAGCTCTGCTCTCTCATCCCCAATCTGTGCATTTGGAGGCCCCGGTGAGGGGCACGTATTTTGATGATTATTGATTGATTGATTATTAACAACTAATGAAATAAGTAAGTTCATCTATATAAGAAGTAGAATATAGAATTGTTTAAAGGAAACCGAACTTTACAGTTAAAGATAAAGAATACAGTTGATATACCATAATATAGTAATATAAAATCGTTGTATAAGAACAATTTACACCAAGTATATTTTAGGATATTATATTACACTGTTTTTTTTCTCTCTCATTTTGATATTATCCTTCCTGTCATCCCTTTAGCTCTCTCCCTTCTTTATCTTCTTTAATTTGGGTGATTCAGCTAGTTTCAGATTCTATAAAAGATTGGATCAAATCAGAATAATTTACAATATCATAAGTTGGAAAAGATATTTATATTCTAAGGGAAACTACTGAATAGAACTAGTAACAAAAGAAAAATTAAATAGTGAATGGTTAAGTGGAAGATATCTACAATAAAGTTAGGAATATGACCAGTACTACAACAGCGAACCTGAAAGGGAAAAAAACGATGTCTGGTTCATCAATGTCTATTGCATCTCCAGCGGGCCAAAAAACAATAGAAGGAATGTTGAATACGGAAAAGATGAGCAGCGCGGCCAACATGCAGACAATGCAAGCAACATTAACAGCTATTCAGGAAACGATGCTTAAAATGTAGGAGACAATGGTTAATAACCATACAGATATGAAGACGGAAATGGGAGAAATGAAGGGTAAGATTCAAAATTTAGAGAAGATGGGAGTGATCCAACAGACACTGGAGAAGAATGAACGAAGAATAAAGAATATAGAAACTAAAGCTGAACAAACAGATAAGAGATTGGAAAGGATGGATAGGAAAGTAATAGAGATGAACAGAGACTTAGAAGATTCGATCATCCATCTCGAAATGGAACATGCAGCATTCTATTTGAGGTTCCAAAATGTATTGGAATCCAAAAATGAAGACCTGGGAGACAAAATGTCCCATTTAGTAGCAGAGGCATTGCAAAGGGACCAGCAGGAAATAGTGAAAGAATTAGATGAGGTCTACCGAATCCATACAAACTATGCCAGACGAAACAAGCTGCCTGGAGAGGTCCACATCAGGTTCACCAGAAAAAATGTAAGAGATATTGTATATAGAATCACAAAGGACAAGCCAATGGTGTATAAAGAAAAAGAGATCACAACCTTGAAACAAATTCTGAGGCGGGTAAGAGAGTTGAGGAAGGACGATATATCTCTGGCAATACTCTTGAATAAACGAAACATCTGGTTCCGATGGCTGGTCCCTGAAGGAATGCTGGTGACGTGGCAAGAAAGAAGAGTAAAAATTGATAGTATTGAAAAGGTGCAAGAACTTTACGATCAGATGATGGAAACAGAGCAAGAGGGGAGCAGTAAAGAAGAGTCAGAAAGCAAGAGTCAGGAAGACCAACAAGAATATCAGCAACATGGAATATAGGAAACGGACCAAGAAGAGAGAGGCAAAGAAAAGAGAGAATACCCATGGAGAGAAGGACTAAGAACAAGAGCCCAAAGAGAAGCAAGAACAAACAGAAGATTTAGGTAGACTCAGAATTAACAGTGGAAGAAGAGATTAAATTACTCTCAATAAACATCAATGGATTAAACTCCCAGATCAAGAGGAAACAAATATTAACCAAATTAACTAAACAAAACATTGATATTATATGCCTACAGGAGGTACATATCCAAAAACAGCATAAAAAATATCTAGAATATCCCAAGTTGGGTGTATTATTTACAGCATTGGCGGATCAAAAGAAAAGGGGGGGGGTGTAGAAGTTTACGTTAAAAAAGGGATAAATGCAAAAAAAAAAAAAAACCCAAGCAGATGAACAAGGCAGAATTTTCATGATACAAATTAATTTACATCAAAAACAATTACTATTAGTGGGGATATATGCCCCTAATGATAACCAGAAGAAGTTTGATAAGGGACTGTATGATAAAATAATTAGTGTAGGTGAAGAAAATATTTGCTTGATGGGGGACTTTAATGCCATTGTTGATGTTAAAAAAGACTATATTAGTATGGAAGGGATTAGGAAGAAAAAAAAGAGAATTTTACCAATTATTTTTTTTTGATTTAACACATGAGACCAATTTGGAAGATATACGGAGGAAGAGGAATCCAAATGAGAAGAAATATACGTTTTATTCTAGTCCACAAAAATCATGGTCCAGAATCGATATGGTATGGGTTAATGGGGCAATCGAGAAAGACATTAGTGAAGTAGAGATAATGCCTAATAAATGGGCTTACCATAGCCTGGTTAAAATTACATGGAAAGAACATAGTAAAAGGAAAAGGAGATGGATATTAAATTCACAAATAACAAAGGAAAAAGAATATATCTTAAGAATTAAAAATGAGTTAGAAACATTCTTTAAGGTTAATCTAAAACAACATACTAGTTTACAAAATTTACGGGACACTACAAAGGCCTTTGTGAGTGGCATATCAATAGCCCATACAGCTAAGAAAAAAAAAATGAAAGAAACAGAACGAATTACAAGAAAGGGTTAAAAAAATTGAATATGAGCTCCAAAAAGACCCAAAGAATATGGAGGTTAAGAAAGAAATAGGGATGATTAGACATGAACTAAGTTTGATAGATATTGAGGAAAATGCACGTAACTTAAAAACTCTTAAACATAATTTCTTTGAATCAGCAAATAAATCAGGAAGATGGCTGTCCCATAAATTAGAAATAGAGAAAGAGAAAAGACTAATTCAGCAACTCAAGGATGAGGAAGGGATAGTGTATTATCAGATGGAGGAGAAAAAGAGAATTGCGCAAAGGTATTTTGGTGAGCTTTATAATCAAGAAGATGTTAGGGAAGAAAACATTAGATACTACTTGGACGGAAATGGTCTGAGCCCAATCTCAGAAGAAAACAGAGAAGTACTTAATAAAGAAATAACATTAACAGAGTTACAAAAGGTGATACAAAAACAAAAAAATAATAAAACACCAGGCCCGGATGGTCTACCAGGCGAACTATATAAAAATTTATCTGAAATATTTGAACCAATATTACTGGAACTATATAATGAGGCATTAACGCAAGCTAGACTTCCGAGGTCCTGGTCCAAGGCATACATCTCCTTAATTGCAAAAGATGGCACCGATCAACAACTAATTGCGAACAATAGGCCAATCTCATTGCTAAATACGGATTATAAGATATTTATGACAATATTAGCAGAAAGAATGAAACCAATTTTGAGTGAACTTATGCACACAGACCAGAATGGTTTCCTGCCAAATAGACAAATTAAAAACAATATTACGACAGTACTAAATTCAACTGAATACTATGAAGCTCACCCAGAAAAACAGGTAGCTTTAATTTTTTTAGATGCACAAAAAGCATTCGACAATCTTAATTGGAAATTCATGCTATATCAAATTAAAAAGCTGAACTTTGGCACTAATATAGAAAAAAAACTACAAGAAATATACTCAAATAAAAAAGCAAGTGTATTATTAAATGGAGATCGTACTGAAGATTTTGAAATTGCAAAAGGAGTGAGACAAGGGTGTCCATTATTGCCTCTATTATTTATCTTGTCTTTAGAAGTGTTGCTAGCTGCAACCAGACAAAACCCAGAGATTTATGGAATTAAGATTAGAAATGAGGAATATAAAGTTCAGGCATTTGCTGATGATTTGGTATTTATAGTGGAAGATCCAATGAATTCGGGACCAATATTGCTGCAACAAATAGAAAAAATTGGGGAAGCAGCAGGATTTAAAATAAATAAAAATAAAACTAAGATGATAGTCAAAAACTGTACAACAAAACCAGAAAGTAGAATTAGAAAACACAATGGGACTGAAAATAGTAAAAAAGATGAAATACCTGGGAATTTGGATATCACCCAGATGCTCATTAAAAGAGGGCAATTATGTTAAACTGATTAAGCAAATCAAAAAGGAATTGGAATTATGGGCCAAATTGAAACTGTCTATATTAGGAAGAATAGCAACGTTGAAAATGAATACCTTACCAAAACTATTCCAAATGATTCCAATTAAATTAGGGAAATCTTTTTTAATAGAACTAAATAAAATGACATCCAAGTTTGTCTGGTTGGGCAAGCGGCCACATATTAAAATGAAACTATTGCAAGATAATAGGAGCAAAGGCGGTCTTGGACTACCAGAATGGGAGCTTTATTACCAGGCAGCGGTGTTGAGTTGGATAAAGGATTGGATTAAGAGAAGAGCATTTTGTGCATCTAAAAAAGGATTGGGTTAAGAGACAAGAGAATCTTAACATTAGAAGGACATGACCTCTTGATAGGTTGGCATGAATTTTTGTGGGAAAATAAAAGTAATATACCTATTTCAGTCAACACCTAATAAGAGGCTCATTGATTACAATTTGGAAAAAAAAATCAAAGGTAAACACTATACAGAAATCCCACGATGGCTGTCAACTATGGAAGCCATAATACATCCAAATAGATTAGACCTTCCCTAGATAGTCAAGGGAAATTAAAATCAAACCAAAAACTGAAGGAAAATAGAATTATAATCGATTGATGGCCATATTTGCAAATTCAAAATAAATATAAAAAAGACTCAAAAGATTTTGGATTTGACAAAGGGCAGAACCAACTAGATAAAATATTAATGGGACCGGAACAAAAACTTATAACTAAAATATATAAATATTTATTAGATTTTAAAATGGAAGAGGAAATAGTCAAAAGTACAACGATTGCATGGGCACAGAATTTTGGATACACTATAGAATTAGAGGAATGGGAAAAAATATGGAATATAAATTATAAATTAACGGTATCTGCAACATACAAAGAAAACATATATAAAATGTTTTATAGATGGTATTTAGCCTCAACAAGATTGGCAAAAATCTACTCTAATATGAGTCCTAAATGTTGGAAGTGCAAAAAAGTAGATGGTACATTTTAATCACATGTGGTGGATGTGCCCCGAGGCCAGGACATACTGGATTCAAATTAAAAATTGGTTAAAAAAGATCACTGGCTATCAGATTGAGCTCCTTCCGATTAGGAATCATTAAAGAAAGACTACCGAAAGAAGTAAAATACCTAGTGTTACATATTATAACAGCTGCCAGAATAGCCTTTGCGCAGGTATGGAAAACACCAAATACCCCCAATGAAGAACTAATAATACACAAAGTAACAGAAAGTGCTGAGATGAATATGCTAACAATGAAATTGAAAGAAAAAGACGACTCTGAATTCTTTACAATTTGGAACAATTGGTATAAATGGCTAACAGAACCAAGAAGTGAGACAAAAATGTTAATTGAAACAACTCTTAAGAAAGTAAAATAAAATTTTGTAAACTATATAAAGATATAAGAATAGTAATTATAGTTAAAGATATTAATAGTAGATAATTCTACTCAATCTGATTTGGTGGGATTATAGGGAAAAGGATTACTCACTCCCCTCAGAGCATAGCCACTCCTCTGGGTCAGAGGAGGAGGAGGGTGAGATCAGAGACCAATGTATGTCTGAGGCAGAAAGTTTTCTCAAGGACTAGCCCCCATCACTGGCGGTCTTTAAGCCAGCCTTTTTTAAACCCCTATTACAGAAGGCTTTGGTCACTGCCCAATTGACCATGGAGGAGGTGGCACCTGAATCCCAGAGGGATCTTCCAACGTAAGGGGATACTCTTTTCTCTAAACTTGTGGTCCACATAGGTCTCCCTTCTCCTCTGTTAATTTTGGATCTTGTTAAAGAACAATATGCTACCCCTGCTGCTGGACCCAGGCCTTCATCACATGATCAGCATTTCTACAATGTAGGACCAGCCTTAGCTTCTACCGTTGTGGTCCCTTCGGTGGATACCCCAGTAGTGGCCTCCTTCTCTTCCTCTGGTACTCCCACTGATTAAACGAGATGCCCCGATTCAGGAGAACATTTGATGGAGACCCAGATCAACTGGCTCTATTACTTTGCTGGATTCCATTTAGACTGCTATGGGCACCTCTACCCAACTGCAGGACATCGACAAATTCCTGCAAGAACTGGAAACCAGGTTCAAAGAAGCAGAGGATGACCAGTATGCAGGGGATGAGATCCAGAGTTTAAAGCAAAGGCAGCAACCCATTAAAGAACACATTTGTGAGTTCAGAAGGGTCATAGGGAAGCTACTGCCCTGCCCAGAGGAGCTACTAGCCCACTTTTTCAGAGAAAGCCTGGATAAGCAGATTAGCCAAACCACCATCTATTGGGACATTCCTAACCAACTCTCTGACTGGTTTCAAGTGGCGATTAAGTTTGACAGCAGCTTGCCAGCAAATGACATGCGGAGGCAGCCAGATCCTAGAGAGAGAGGACAACCAGATCGGAGACCATCTGGCTGACGGGAAACTGTGGCAGCCCAGCCAGCCACAACACCAACCCTCTCCGGAGGCCAGCTGAAATGGTATAGATGCAGAGGGGTAGGCCATTTTGCTTCAGCCTGCGCAAGCCCAACCCTGAAGTCCAAGCCAAAACTACCAGCCAGGGCACAACTGGAATGGGGCCCCAGGCGTGCTGCCAACAAGTCCCGAAAAGCCCTCTAGATTGTGAATGTCCCCCCCTACCATGCTGAAGGGGGGGGACCCACAATGACCCACCGATGACCAATCCTCAGAACCCTATGACAGGATGAGGGGGAAAAGGATCTGATGGTGAGTGAACCTATCCACCTTTTCACCTTCCCAATATGCCTCACTGCCCCCAAAGTAGGGACTCAGTACATTTGAAGCTCTGATAGACTCAGACTGCACCAGATGTTTGATTAACTTGCCTACAGTTCTGAAACTAGGCATCAGAGCAAAGAAATTGACCCACCCAATTAAGTTTAAACAAGTTGATGAGTCCCTATTGAGGGGAGGCACACCACCCACTTAACCGAACCAGTGAGGCTGCAGCTAGCAGCCCGCTGGAAATTAGTTAGATTCGTAATAGCTCCCAAAATGACAGAGGCGGTCATACTAGAGTTCTCTTAGCTAGACAAGTGGGGCCTGACCATGAAGAGGAGGCAGCCAGAGGCTGAGAATAGCAAGAGGTCCCCACCCCTCTCCGCACCAGCAAACAGAGGCATCAACCACACAGGAAACTCCCCCCAGGGCTCCACCAGAACAACTGCTGGCCACCTCTGAACAGATCCCAGAAGCTGGAAAGAGTCCTAGGGAATACCAGGACCTCGCTGAAGTGTTCAGTGAGACCGAATGCAATGCCCTCCCCCCCCACCATGCAATGGATTGTGCCATCGAAATCATCCCTGGGGCCAAACTTCCCAAACTGTATGCTAAGCCACCCCAGTTGTATGCTATGAAACTGATAAAACAAAATGCTGCATTTTGCAGCAAGGGGGTCCTTGTCTACCTGAATGACATTCTCATTTTTACCGAGACCATGGAGGATCACATACCCCTAGTCCGTCAGGTACTTGAAAAGCTTTTGGCGGCAAACCTATATGTCAAGCTGTCGAAATGTGAATTTCATCACTCTCAGCTAGATTACCTAGGCTACCGAGTGTCAGATGAGGAGACAGGGATGGACCCAGCCAAAGTTCAGGCTGTCGGAATGGCAGTCCCCTAGCACCCGCAGACAGCTACAAAGATTCCTGGGATTCGCAAACTTTCCTCCTTTCCGAAAATTGCCAAACCTATGAGAGACCTCCTAAAAACAGAGCCCAGGGCGAAAACACGCCCTGGGCAAACACCCCCCCCCCCATGGGACCTCACTTGCAGGGAGCATTTGAAACACTAAAGCAGCTATTTGCAAGAGAACCGGTACTGAAACATTCTGACCCTGAACAATCCTTT